AAACAATAACAAAATTTGTTTGTAAATTATTTTTCTTCTATTTTAAATCTTCATATATATATGTGCAAAGTTACAAACCTTAACAAGCATTGGTATTGATTTACCAGCCCATTGAAAATCTTGAAAAATTAAAATCGAGAATGGGTGGGGTTCCCTTAAATCGATTCGTATTCGAAATTTAGGAACTCTGCCATCAGAATTAATTTTGGTTCTTGTAAAACAGAATATAGAGAATAATTTACAACGAATTTTTCGTCAATTTTGCATTTGGTTTTCTTAATATTGGGCTTTTATTTTTCAGAAAGATTGTACTATATCTCCCGAATGCAAGGATGTAGCTATGTTACATTTTGTCCATATCCTATCTAGAATAGTTGCATTAAATCTGTGAACAGAAAATAGTTCTATGATTACGGAAAAAAAAATTCAGGGCTTAAAGGGTTAAAGATATTTTAAAAGCATATTTCCAGGCGTAGATTTAAAACAAATTTGGGTGCTTAGCATAAGATCTGGTTTTTAATTTTTATAACTGGCATGGACCCACATATAAAATGTACATTATGTTACATACCGTATGCTAAAAATGAATATACCTACCATCCCAAACTAACTGTGCCGTTTGAAAAAAGAAGAATAATATAAAGAACAGCTATATAGCTGGAAATCAAGTGGTTAGTTTTGTGTGGTTACCTCACACAGCGGAATTGTCTATGTGGGAGATGGTAGCAGACATACCTATCCAACCAGCTGGCTAAGCTAGTGAATGCCATGTCAACAACATCTAGCCATAAATGCAACTGCAATCTAGAGGAAAATGCAATCAAGAATTTCAAGAACAGCAGTCAGAAAAAGAAGAGAGTATTACTAAGAGAGCAAAAAAATGTTTGTGGTTTGATGTTGTTGCATGACGCATGATGATGATCTCGCGTTACAGCGTCATCAAAAGCCGTTAAAATTGCAAATTGAAATGAAAAATTTTTGTTGGTGTTGTTATCGTCATCAGCATTACTGCCAAAAACAACAACAATAAAACCAACATGCAAGTACAGAATGTAAGTGGCATTACAAATATTCTTTTTGTTGTTGCTTTTGGCATGGTTCCCCTTTTCGCATGGTGTATGAATCAACAACAAGCCATATCTTGAGTACTTGAAGAAGTTTTTATATACGAATGCCATAATTATGGAATTAACGCGGCCTCTCTCTCTCAACGCTTTTGTTTACATTCTCACACATCGTCTATGTATGTTTGAGTGTCAGCAATGCATGCAGTCAGCCAGCCAGTGCATTAGCCCTATCATCATCAATTACAACATTTTTGCTGCAGCATGTTGTGTTTTTTTTGTTGTTGAAATTGTGCGCATGCGTTTTTCCATTTTTGTTTGCAGTATAAACTAGCTTGCTATTATAAACCCTAATTATTATTACTTTTAATTATAGTTTGCAAGAAAACAAACTGTGTACGCCTTCTCGTTCTGAAAAGAGAAAGTGTTTATCAAGGGATAAATAAGTACAATGACTCTTAGTAGCACAGTTTACACATGTTATTTTTTTATAATGGGAACAATTTTTCAAATAAAAAAGGGCAATTATCGGCCCGAAATAATCGAGTAGATTGGCAATCATGCCGAGTACATTGGAATGTGTAAAGGAAGAAGACTTCTCAAAAAACCAAGTCTAATATTTATTTAATTAACTATAGTGTGTGTGTGTGTTTTTATAGCAACCTATTTACCTATGTCAGCTGTCAAACATATCATGGATTGCATTGTTTTTGATTGATGATAATGAGATGCTGAGAATATGTTTGTAAAAATCCCTTAATCCATTTTTATTTGTATTACCTTGTCAATTGTATATAATTGTAATCATTCATAGTAACAATAAACATTGTGAGTGTGTGTGTGAGTTTTTTTCTGCTGATTTGACAAATTTGATTTTCTTGAATGACTGCAACATGTTTTGACTGATGTCAGGCGTATATCAATTCATTCATTAGAATTTCCTGATTACAACAATGTGTAGATGTTGTTATGAATCGAATAAAATATGTAGTCAATGATTAAAGGTTTTATTTCTCAATAAAGACATAGTTTATGATCTATAAATAATCGTCTGCAGCTTCCGCGTCTTTATATACTCCCTTCAGAAACAGGTCTTAAAATGTCGCCTTATGGCTCCTGCTTTCAGATTGTCAATTCCTGTACTAAGGCGTGGCTTTTTAAAAACATTTTTCAGTGTTTACTCTAAGGCGTGAATTTTTTAAAACATCTTTTCAGTGTCTACTCTAAGGCGTGAATTTATAAAAATATTTTTTTTAATGCCTATCCTAAGTCGCGGATTTTTAAAAACAATTATTCAGTGCCTATCCTAAGGCGCGGATTTTAAAGAATATTTTTTTAATCCCTTTCTAAGGCATATCTTTTTAAACATATTTTTTAATGCCTTTCCTAAGGCGTGGATTTTTAAAGGCATTAATTCAGTACCTATCTAAAGGCATGGATTTTAAAAAAATATGTTTTGAATGGCTATCCTAAGGCGTGGATTTTTAAATATATTTTTTGAATGCCTATCCTAAAGTATGGATTTGAAAAATATATTTTTTATGCATATCTAAAGGCGTGAATTTTTAAATATATTTTTTGAATGCCTATCCTAAGGCATGGATTTTTAAATATATTTTTTATGCATATCCTAAGGCGTGGATTTTTAAATATATTTTTTTAATGCCTATCCTAAGGCATGGATTTTTAAAAATATTATGTAAATATACTATTTACATAAAATCGGACGAAAATATATAGACTATACCAAATTTCGTGCAAATCGACAGATATATATAGACTTTGGTGCACCACTTACATTAAATCGAACAAAAATATATATGGGAGCTACATCCAAATCTGGACCGATATTCAGGAAACTCAACACACACCATTCTAGACCTAATTCATAACGTTATGCCAAATTTCGTGAAAATCAAACGATATACAGGGACTTGGTGTACCATTTACATTAAATCGGACGAAATTATATATGGGAGCTATATCTATATCTGGACCGATTTTCAGGAAACTTAACACACGTCATTCTTAAACAAATTCAGTACGCTGTACCAAATTTCGTTCAAATCGAAAGATATATACGAACACAATTTACCATAAATCGGACAAAAATATATATGGGAGCTATATCTAAATCTGAACCGATTTTTCTCAATTTCAATAGGGTTCGTCCTTGGGAAAAATAAGTGACTTATGCCAAATTTCATCCAATTCGGATCATAATGCGACCTGTACATTGTTTACAATTTAACATTGTCAGACGGACGGACAGGCGTAAATCGACTCAGAAAGTGATTCTATGCTGGGGCACCTTCGGCACTTTTTTTTAGAGCTCTATATCTCAGTACTTATTCAACATATATAACAACTTTATGGCTGATTATTGTCCTCAGACACTTAATTATAAAAAATAGTACCAAAAAGATATAAAAAAATAGTATTAGTTAAAAAATTTTACAGTTTTGTAAAAAAAGTCAAATTCGCCGAATGTGCACCAACCCGGGGTAGCTTCGGCATTTGATAAGGCACATTCGGCACCATAGCCATAGCCGGGTAATTGTCATCGCTATCAGTCTGGTTGAAATTCTGATCCTCTAAAGACTCTATTTGGTTTTAATACGCCACACAATGTTTGAATTATAGGGCTTTATTTTCTAACGGCGTACGTTTACATCTCAAGCTCGCACACAACATCAGAAATAAGGGTTTTCTATCGCATTTTCGACAATACAAGTACGTTTGATCTTATATATGCAATTTCGGACCATATTAAAGGATTAGTTTTAAAGACAAACTCAAAAACATTTTAAGGAAATAATATTGCACAATCTGTATATGGCCGAATGTGCCCCACTTTAAAATGCCGAATGTACTTTTTATAGTTTTTTTTTCATTTTTTTTTGATCAGTTTTTAAAAACATTATATTTTTAAACATTTCTATAATAATACACATCGTAGTTAACCACTTTTTAATAATATTGTCTTAAAAATTTAAAAAGTTTTATACGCGAAATACTTACGAAGTAGAATTGAAATATTACAGAAACATCTATAAAAATATAAAAACCCATGTATCTAAATAAGTTTATTAGCTAGAAATTTCAAACTTTGTGTCAGTTATTTATTTCGATATTCGATACCTATGTATCGAAACTAGTGATGTACGGTGAGAGCTTCATATCGAAAACGCGATTGCCGAAGATGCCCCGATGCCGAAGGTGCCCCAGTCTCCCCTATACTAAGGTGTACAAATTAAAAAACGTTTTTCAGTGCCTATGCTAAGGCGTGAAATGTAAGGGGCGAAATGTAAAAAAAAAAACGCTTTTCAGTGCCCATCCTAAGGCAATAAGAAAATGCAGTAAGTTTATAACTCAACTTTAACTTTTTTGGGACCCTGACATATTTATAGTCACAGCTGAAATTTCCTCTTTAAAATTCTCATCTCACTACTTCCAGCTCTTCAGACTTTTAATGGGAGGGTTTAAAGACATTCAGCTCATCTATAAAGACTCCCACAACTATAAAAACTCTCTTCAGCTAAATCTTTTCTATACAGGAACCATTAACAACCCTCCAGCTAGCAGAAAAAACTCTTTCATAATTACAACTTTCTTTAGTACTTCAACCATATCTTCTACGCAGAATACATTCAGTTCGTCTATAAAACTCCCAACTCCCTCTAGCACTATAGCTAATAATGAGGCTCCACTGGAGCCTGTTTATAATAACACCCTCCAAGGTTCGTGTACAAAAACTCCTCTAGAGGTCGCCAACAAAGACTTCCTTCTGAGGTCGAGGGAGTTATCTCCCTCCGGTCTATAAAAGTTTGCTTCACCCCTATAGGCCCCCTTAAAGTCTCCTCCATCTCGTCTCTCTTATTTTCCAAGATCCTTATACTACTTAAATTCCACTCAGTATGTTCCATTCATACTTACTTGACAATATTCGGATGATCGGAGGCATTCAATTGTTTGAGCAGAGCAATTTCACGCAACGTTGACATTGGCACTCCATTATCTGTCAATGGAATGCGAACTTTTTTAATAGCCACAATGCGACCAGTTAGATTATCTCGTGCTCTATAAACGGTGCCATAGGCGCCTGATTTGATTGGTATGACGGTTTGATTGTTTGGTTTGATGTGGAACAACATTGACGGCGCAACAGGTGGGTGTAGATGATGGTGGCAGGTCGAAGTAGTGGCGGATATTGTTGTGGTTATGGAATCCCATCAACACAATTCAAATAAACAAATATTTCCATAATAATATAAACAAATTGTGCACGCATGGCGTATGAAGAAGGAGTAACGTCATCGTCACAGCATTGATCAGGTCCATAGTTGATGTGTTCAGGTGATGTGTTGACCAGTCAGGCAATGACCAGATGAGGAAGGTATTGAAATAAATAAATGAAAAAAATAAATAGAAATTAAATATACGCTAAAAAATTAATAACAACAACAGCAAAAATATAAACAATAATAAGAACATGAAAAAGAGAGCGAGCAGAAGTAGAAGGAAAATGAAAACATTAACAGCAATAACAAAAGAGGTCAATGTCACAAACAATTGCATACATATTTAAAAAAAAAAAAAAATAAATAAAACAAAACACTGACAACAAAACGACGTCAACAGCAGCTGAGCAGAGGCAGGTCTCAATAATTCATTATGATTCTCAACGACGTCGTTGTATCATTATCTACATATGTGCATATGTTTGTTTGTGTTTTGTCTATATAGCTATGTTGACGATGCAGTTTTAAGTTTTTTTTTGGTTTGAAACAATAAATAAATAAAAACTAAATAGAGTAAACAATAACAACAACAAGAACTGGTGATAAAAAAATGAATTATGAGGATCATGACTGGCTATGACTTTTAATAATAACCGTTAACCTAGGTGATTCTAGAAAAATTAGAACCAAATACATAGGTTGATATGATTCCTAAAGAAAGTCCCGAAAGTCATCAAAGTTCGAACTATTTGCAGGACATTAAAAATGCCAATTTATAATGTCATAATCTATACATATTCCCACTACAGGCCATCTATAGTGACTCCCTCTAGAGTTAGCTAATAAAGAAGATATCTGACACATAGATGGCGCCACTTAATTAAATTCATATAATTTTAATAAGCTCTAATACAAATGATCAAGGATATAAAATTACAAAAATATGACACATTACATATTTAAAAAAATTTCAATAGATGGTATTCCCTACAATAATGATAAAAATTTTGCGGCCATAGTTCACTAAACTAAAGTAGTGTGTGTTCCGGCCAGTGGAACACTACGATTTTTAGTGTTCCGGCAAATGTAACACTACGATTTTTAGTGTTGCGACCGCGGTACGCTACGACTTTTTAGTGTTCCGACCGCGGTACACTACGATTTTTAGTGCTCCGACCGCTGTATACTACGAATTTCGGTCCAGATTTAGATATAGCTGCCATATATAGTTTCGTCCGATTTCATGTAAATGGTGCACCAAAATCCCTATATATCCTTCGATTTGCACCAAATTTGGCATAACGTACTAAATTGAGCCTAGAATTATGTCTGCCAAGTTTCGTGAAAATCGGTCCACATTAAGATAAAGCTGCCATATATAGTTTCGTCCGATTTCATGTAAATGGTGCACCAAAGTCCCTATATATCCTTCGATTTGCACGAAATTTGGCATAACGTACTGAATTGAGCCTAGAGTGATGTCTGCCAAGTTTCGAGAAAATCGGTCCAGATTTAAATATAGCTCCCTTTTATTATAGATTGATTTTAAGTAATTGACGCACCAAGGAACCAATAGGCTGATAGTAACAAAACTTTCCCAAAATTAGAACAACCTAACCTGTGACAAGTTTGTTTCAAATCGCTTAATATTTGGATAGAGCTTCCATATATATTTTCCCCCGGTTTCAAGTAAATTGGGCATCAAACTTCTCATGTTAGTCAGATTGACATCAAATTTTGCACAACTTACAAAATTGAGCATAGAATTACGTAGTTGCGTTTTCTACAGACATAGCCCAACGGATGACCTATTTATATTTGTTTGAAGTCGATTTACATACTTTATGGATATATCTAGGTAGAACATTTAGATAAATATCACATATTTTATTTCATCCAATTTCATGCTAATAGTCCTGTTTAATATACCCATAGTGGTGAAGGGTATCATATAGTCGGCCCCGTCCGACTTTACTACTTTCCTTACTGGTTTAAACTAACGTATTGGGGTCGATGTGAAGTTCCATGTAGGACCGCAATATGTAAAATATTAGTAGGAAAATTCGAGTTGTTTGTAAATTGAAAAATGAAATTCATGCACGTCGACCAAGAACAACATATAATATGCAGTAGTCAGAAGTGTTAAAAAACCTCAGGTTTGTCCAGATGTCGTCGTCTTTTGGCTGAACAACGTCGTGTCTTTGCTGATTATGTGGTTCTTGAAATGCATGAAAATTATTTGAAATTCCATAGAAAAATCATTTTGAGAGATTATGTCCATTCCACCAAAATTCGGAAAGCCTAAGAATTATTATTGGGAAGTCTCTCCATCCACAAAATATGAAAGTTTGGTGTGGATATTTCAAAAATAATATTTGCAAAGCCTATAGTAGAACCTAGATTTTCAAAAATCAGTTTTCAGTGCCTATCCTAAGGCGTGGATTTTTAAACCTTTTTGCAGTTCCCATTATAAGACGTGGATTTTTAAAGTCACTCTCCCAGTGCCAATCATATGGCGTGGATTTAAAAACATTTTTCAGCGTCTATCCTGAGGCCTGGATATCATCCTTCCTTCCTTCGACGTGGATATCATAGGGCGTGGATTTCAAAAACCATTTTCAGTGCCAATCCTAAGGTGTCGATATTTAAAAAATTATTTTCAGTGTATATTCTGAGGCATTGATTTTTAAGAACATTTTCCCAGAGTCTATCCTAAGGCATAGATTAAAAAAAACATTTTCCAACTTCCGTTTTGTTAAGAAACGTAAAGTATGTTTTATTTTTTCATAATAGGAGTAACTTCGGAGAGTTAACTAGTTACACTCTTAACTAGTTACAGATTGCCGGTTATGTTACCCATTTGATGGGCCGTCTCCGCCACTCTCAAGTGCGTGGTATTTCCATCAAATTGCAAGAAGAAGAAGGTGAACGTCGTGATAACTATGTTCCCGCTGTTTCTGCTTTGGAATATATCGATATCATTAAGTCACCGCCATTTTCGATATTTTGGAGATGTTGAAGTTTTTGGACTTCCACAAATTTGGGTCTTCAATTGACAAATCCCTCTACCAACAAAATATAGAAACTAAATATTTTAGTTCACGTTCAAAATTTTCAGTGCATTATATGGAGGTTCCCTGTTTTTTCCACCGAATTTAGATATTTTTGTGGTCAATAAAAAACTGAAAAAAAAGAAAAGTAACTCATCGAAATATTCATTTCCGACCCTATAAATTATATATATTCTTGATCAGGGTAAAATTCTAAGACGGATAAAATTCTAGCCATGTCCGTCCGTCTGTTGTATAATATCGGTTGGGAGGTACCAGTTTGGAAGAAATAATAAGTTGTGCAAAGTTTGGATGGTATCCAAATTTTCTGAAACGGATTTGGTCCAAAGGAACATGGTGTCTAGAACCAATATTTCGATTAGGCACATTTTCACCGTGTCAAAGTGTATACACCCGCATTAGCCATGAGGCTGAGGGTATAATTATCCATTAAAAATTTCCGAAATTTGTATTATGGTTTACATTATGGGTTTGCAGAAATGTCGGTATAGGTCAATTTTTTTGGTATTTTCCATTTATTTTTATTTCAAGTACCTGCCAGTAAATCTATGGTGGAGGTTATCCAAAGTTCGGCGCGGCCGAATTTAACGCTTTTTCACTTGTTGGTTTTAACATTTGTGCTTATAAAATTTAAGGGGAAGATGAAATTTTTCTACGAATAAACCGTGGTCTTGTAGTAACAATTTTAACCCTTTTGAAACTCGTAATGCTAATTCGGCTAATGCGACTAAGTCATTCAAAGTACCTAAAATGGGGTGTGACCAATATGTGGTAACTTTGGAAAAAAATTGATTATTTTATTGATCTAATTTACAGATTCATATTGTTCAACATTTGCTTAAGGTAATCCAAATAATTTTCAAAAAATTGAAAAAAAAATCCGATGTCTGAAATTCTTTTCGACCCTAAGACTCGTCTCAGTGCTCTCTGCTCGTCTATAAATACTGCCTCGAGTTCGTGTCTACAAAGGCTCCATCTAGAGCTGGTTAATAAAGGCTCCATCTAGAGTTCGCTGACTCTAGATATTGTATACAAAAACTCCCTCTAGAGCCGCTTCTGCAAGTCATTTTAAACTCTCTTCCGCTCTTCTGTATATAATTCCGTCAACCTTAAGCCTCACTGCTTGAGTAAATAACCCTTTAGGTCATTTATATATTTTATAATTTTTGGTTACAAAATTGAAGGGGAAACCTAAATTCTTTCTACCTCTAATCCATGGTCTTATAGTCACAATGTTCACCTCTGGAAATGATAATTCGGTTAATTCGACTAGGATTTTCAAAGTATCTAAAATGGGGTGTGATAACTTTGGAAAAATGATTATTGTACTGAACTAAATTACAGAAACTGAGGTTGGATTCATATTTTTCAACATTTGCTTAAAATCATCCAAAAAATTGAAAAAAATCCGATGTCTGAAGTTATTTTCGACCCTAAGACACAGACTCAGTGCTTTCTGTTCGTCTATATATACTGCCTCCAGCTCGTATCTACAAAGGATCCCCCTAGAGATGGATTATAAAGGTTCCATCTAGAGTTCGCTGACTCTAGATATTCTATACAAAAGCTCCCTCTAGAGCCGCTTCAGCAAATGATTTTAAACTCTCTTTCGCTCTGCTTTCAGATTCTGTGTAAATACAACCTTTAGCTCATTAATATAATCTACCTTTTCTACCCTCCGTGTTACAGACGCTCTTAACCTGAACTACACTGGACAAAAATTATCCGCAATATCTAATCGCAGCCATATATATCTTTATTCACTAAATCTTATATGCATTTGATAGTCATATTTCAAAATAATGTTTCAATGGATTATAAAGGCTCCATCTAGAGTTCGCA